GAGCACAGTGTGAGGTGTGCCATGAGCAGACCTCCTCCTCAGCTGCTAACAAGCTGCTCAGGGCCTGTTTCTGCCTTCTGGCTTTAGTTTTCCATTGCTTTCCTGATGGATCTTGTCAGAGGCAGCATGCACCTCCTGAGCTTGCTGCTCTCAATCTCTGCCTACAGATGCCTTTCAGCTTCACCTGCACAGGCTGTGATACAGTATGGCTCTATGGGGTTTCTGTGGCAAGGTTTTGGTGGTGAGGCTGCAATAGTGGCCTCTATGAGGAGAGAACAAGGGCTGCTCTGTGTTGGACACAGCCAGGTCCTGCCCACTCTAAACCAGACACATCACTGGCCAAAACTGAGACCATCAGTGACGCGGGTGATGCCTCTGTGATAATGTGTTTAAGAAAAACACAGGACACACCCACACTGGAAGGATTTGTGAAGGACCATATCCCTTGGGAGGGACCCCACGCTGGAGTAGGGGAGCAGTGTAAGGGGTAATGAGAAGCACAGACAAGGTGTCATAGGGTGATGACATTCCTTATTCCTCAGTCCCCTACACTGTTCATGTGGAGAGGGAAGAGTGAGTTGGGAACAAGAGAGCAAAGTTGAGCCTGGGAAAAAGGAGGGTGTGGGGGAAGGCGTTTTTAGGTTTGTATTATTTTCCCAACATGCTGATCTATTTTAAATTGGCAATAAGTTCAAGAACTCTTCCCCCAGTCATCTGTTTTGCCCATGATGGCAATTTGGAAGTGATCTGCCTGTATTTTTTAACTCAGGAGATTTTGTTATTTTCTCCCCCTGTCCAGTTTAGAAGAGGGTGTGAGAGAGCAGCTTGATGGGCAATTGGCTGCCAGCACAAGCCATCAACTTTTCTCTACATCTTGGTCTGGGTAACATACAGGACTGGAGTTAATCTGAATGACTATGCATATGGAAAAGGGTCTCAGTAATCTGCCTCTGTAGAAAACAGTACCTGGGGTCAAGAATCTTCTTCTGCCCTGTGCAGACACCAGCACAACTGATTTTGACACTGATGTGTGTGGCTGTGAGAGTTCTCACAATACTACACAGCACCCAAGATGGGCTAGGGAGCAGCTGGGTGTCCATCAGAACATCTTACGGGCTCAGCCTTCTGTTGTCAAGCCCTGTGCCCACCATGGAGTTGTGGCCAATATTTTTCTTTGCTTTGCAGACTGAACCCTGAGAAAAGGACACATGGAATCAAGAAACGAGGTGATGTCTTGGGACCTTGGTAAGAGCTGTGTTTGTTCTCTTTAGACAGGGAGGGAAGGGAAAATGAATACTTTAGAAACTCTGGGTCTATTGGAAAATTGCACAGTAAAAGAAGACACATGTATCTCCCAAACTGTTCAATGCATTCTGGCAGTTCCTTCAGGAAAAGGCTTAGTAACATTTCCTTTTTTCTCTTGTTTTTCATATGATCGTGTTGCTCAGAACCTAAGACCACACAGATATGTGTCAAAGAAGTAATGAAATTATTTGAAGCCCGAAGTAAGTATGATGGATCCTGTTGCTTTGGCCTGTGGTCATCCTTAGGAAGATCTGTGATGTGATGTGTCACTGCAGGCAGAAGTAATGCCTGTGGAGGGCTATTCCTCTGGGCAAGTGACTCCTTCCACTCCACAGCAGAAAACATGGCTATTGAGGTGGGAGGAGTTTAGCCAGAGAAGTGTACTGCTCTGAGAAGTGACAGATCGTACTCTAGCAGAGCATATTGCTGAGGAAGGCTTTGCAAAGACAGGCTCAGGTGAATATGCTGGGGGATAAGGAGGTGACCTATGTGCTCCCTCTCCATTCTTGGACTTCTGAAGGATGAGAGTGTCCTCTTTGGGGACTAACTGTATGATGCAAAGGCTGAAACACCAAGGGGGTCTGCCTCTGGCCCAGCAAGGAGTGAACATTTTTCATCATAAATTCTGTTGCAGGCAGTAGATCCTCAACTCCTCAGCTGCCATCCACAGGCAGAAGAGAGATTCTTCTCTATGCGGGTGAGAACCTGGGTTAACTTATCAAAGAGGGAAGGAGGATGGGATCAATAGACTTCTCTTGTGGTGAATTAGGGTTCCTTCCTCTGCCTCCTGGGGTGTCCTCCTCTCACAAGCCTCCAGCAGAACTCATTCATCAGAGCTGGAGCTTATTCCCAGAAGTGGCTGTGGTTGCCCCATCTTCCTAAGGGTTTCTCCAGAGATCCCTGCCTCTGTGGCCATGCTTGGATAGAGGTCCCATCTTGTCTATTCAAAGCCAGATGTTGCAGATCTGTTTTCATGGAGGGCTCAGGCATCAATCAAGACCAAGCACCTCCACCCCACAGACACACAGAACCACCTAAACACCTGGCTGTGTTGGAGTTCTCACTGTCCTTCCATTAGCAGGAGGTAGAGTCTGAGGCAGCCTCATGGCACAGGTGAAAGTCTGCGGGGCTCTGCAGCAGGATATGTTGATTATGGAACCCAGAAGACTGCTTTCAGGCTTTTGCTTCCCAGGACCTCATATTTTCTTGGGCTGGCCCCAGGTTGCATTCTTTCCAAAAAGCTGTTCAATGCATTCTTGCAGTTTCTTAGTGGAAGGGCTTAGTGATGTTTCCTTTTTTCCATACTATTTTTCATATGAATATGTTTTCCAGAATCTGAGACCAAGCTGGTGCCTGTTAATGAACTAAAAAAAATATTTGAACACAAAAGTAAGTATGCAGGATAAAATTGCTCTTGCCTGTGGTCATCCTTGTGAAGTTCTCTGATGTGCTGTGTCACTGCAGATGGCAGTGGAGGGCTATCCCTTTGAGCAAGTTATCTGTAGCACTACTGGCAGTCCACAACAGAAGGCATGGCCTTTGTGGTGGGAGGAATTTGGAGAAGGGTGTGCGTCTGACGAGAGACATGTCCTACTCTAGCAGAGCATATTGCTGAGGAAGGCTTTCCAAAGACAGGTTCAGATGAATAGGCTGAGGGATAAGGAGGTGACCTATGATGTCATCCAGAGACAGAAGGGAGATTCCTCCCCATGAAAGTCAGAAACTTGGTTAACCATGATGCTGTCAGGGTTTTGCTTCAGAGAACCTCATGTTTTCTTGGGCTGGTTGCGGGATGCATTCTTCCCCAAAAGCTGTTCAATGCATTCTTCTAGTTCCTTTTTGGAATGTTCTTACTGATATTTCCTGTCTTTCCCTTTTATTTTTTTGGAAATATGAATGTAATATCCAGAACCTGAGACTGAACAATGTATGGTCCAAAAAAGAAAGAAATTCTTTTCAAGTAAGTATGTATGTACGTACATATACACATAGGTACAAACATGCACGTAAGTATATATGTACCTCAGTAAGTATGGTGGAGCTCATTCTCTTGCTTGGGTACCAACAGATGAGCAGGGCAAGACTCTGTGTGAGCTTCTCTGACTTCCCTTGGGAAATGGTGGACATTATTCACTCTGAACTCTCTTGCAGGCTGGCAGCCACGAATTTCTTGGTCTCCGTCTAGGGACAAAAGTGAGAAGCATTCCAGTGTGGGTGAGTACCTGGATGGATGCAGGCTACCTGAAAAAAACCAAAAGTTACCAAGCAAGAAGAACTGGGGGCTTATCCTAGATCAGGAGGCTTATTCTGCATGAGAGCCTAACATGGTGAGATGAAACTCTCTCACCTCTCCAGAAATTCCTCTGTTATATTTAACAGCCTGATGCAGATGTCTGGGACCACAGACTACCGGTGTGCAGAGCTGCCCAGGCAGCCTGCTCAGTGCAGCTCAATAAAACCGGACTGTATTGAATCCCTTCCTCCCTATGTTCTAAGACAAAGACTATTCCTGCGCCTGCTGTTTTTAAGTGGGATGTTTGACAGGGAATATTCTTCCCTCAGGGAACCCTTGGGAGTGAGCATGTGCTGGGCCCTCTTCTATGGCCATGCCTTTGTTTAGTGAGGAGGCAGTGGGGTTCCTTTCAATTTTGGTGAGGCTCACCAGATGCACAGGAGAGCCAAGCCCTTGTTCATAAGGGTTTACAGTGGTGCTTAGACTTCTTTCAACAGATGAAAGCCGTAAGAGAAAGGACTCCCCATGTCAGGGAGGAAGCATCGTCATGTGAATTCCCCATCCCTGAGTGAATGGATAAGTGAGTTCATTTTTAATGCTGCTGGATCAGAAAGGATTCCCTGTGGAAAGAGAAGTCCATTGTGGAGCACATCATTTGGTAAGCAGGCAGGACATTGAAGAGAACTAACCAGAGTAATGATCTCATTGGGAGTAGCAAAATCCTGAGAATGGAAATCCCCTGTGATATCAACAATCCGTTTCTACTGATGATAAATAAGAGAGTGAACATCCATGAGAACAGAGACTACACATGTCTCTGAGCAAAGGCGACCTTGGGAACCCCTCTCCCTGAAAGGGCTGGTGCTGGGAAGGCTTCAGCTGGTGCACAGATACCAGTGTGTGCCTGGTTATACACAGGCTGTGCACAAAATAAACCCTATTGCACAGAGGTGAGTGGAATCTAAGAAAAGGTTGGGCATTAACTGCCTGAGTGTGGGTGATATTCTTGCTCCAGCTGAGGCCAATGAAAATATGGTAATGACCAGCCAAGAACACTCCAGACAAAAACGTTGAATTCTTGATGCCTTTTGAAAAAATTAAGCCGGTGCCCAGCTATATTTACTGACCTACAGACATCACCAATTAGAGTTTTATAGGCGAGGAAAAAATGGTCTGAGTTTCTTGCCCCCTCCTTGCTAAAAGACAGAGGGCAAAGTGAAAACTATTTCCAGAATGCACCTTCAAAGCAAAATTGATTTCCTGTGAGGTGAGGAGTTCTACATGGGGAACAAGGAAGAAAAAACCCACCTACAGGAGAGTCCTAAGAGAACACCCTCTGAACAGGACTTCAAAGCAGAGATTTTAAGCATCCTCATTGTAGATAGGTGGTGTCCTGCCTTCGTTTGCCTACACTTCAAGAAGGTGATGTCATTGTCCCAGTGATACCATTCTGTTTTCACAGGAATGACAGTGGAGGCAAATACCACAGGAGCCCAAGAATCCATGCGGGAGAAGGATCTGCAGGAAGTCTCCCAGCAAATTCAAACCCTGCAGAAAGCATTTCAGAACATGCAGGAGTTCACACAGCGTGAGCTTCAGAGCCTTAGAGTAGATGTGGAGGGCAGACTAGGTGAGCATAACCATTCTTAAGCAGGCCTTCATCTCTTTGAAGGCAAAAGCTGGTCCAGAGATAAACCAATAAACTGACTTGTGAGCAAGTCCTCTGCACCTCCTCAAAGTGGATGGAGAAGGTCAGACCTTTCTTAGTGACCAACTCTAATGTCCCCTGTGACTGAATCACTGCTATGCTGACGTGGTGACTGGAGGGTGTCAAGGTCCCTCTTCTCTCACTTGTTTTTGTAGATAATGAAACAAGAACCTTCTTTTTCCTTTCTAAGTGGAAAGTCCCTGTGCCATTAGTGGGTCAAGAACTCCGCTGAGGGGAGGCAAGATCATTGTCCCATTGACACCATTCTTTCTTCACAGGATGGACAGTGGAGGAAGATACCACAGGATTTCTGGAATCCATGTGGAAGAACGACCTCCAGGAGGTCTTCCAACAAATTCAAACTCTGCAGAAAGCATTGCAGAACAGGCAGGAGTCAACACAGCGTGAGCTTCAGATCCTTAGAGCAGACGTGGAGGGCATACTAGGTGAGCCATTCCTAAGCAGGGCTTTATCGCTCTGAAGGCAAATCTGACCTACAGACAAACTGCAGCATGAGCTGATTCCTAACACACTGGAGACCAGCATGCCTTGACAAATGTACTTATCCCCTCCTTGCTTCTTTTTCCCACAGAGCTTTTCAAAATACAGCGCTACAAAGGTAAGCACAAGGGAGATGACGGAGGTGAGTACTCAGAGTCTGAATGCATCTCTGGGAAACACATCCAACCAGTGCAGAGAGCTGTTTGGAGATCAACAGGCTCAGAGGAAGCATTATTTGATAACTTTTTCCTTTGTTGTGTGCTGCCAAAGACCCTGCGCACACTTGATGGGAACCATTTCAGCTGTGTGGAGCAGGGACAGACCGCTTGCTTTGGCCACTTGAACCCTGTCTCCCACTCCTGGTGTTGCCCTTTCTGGTGGTCAGGAAAAGTGTCTTGAGTTGATCTCTCTCCGCTGGAGGTGGAACTTCTTTCTTTAAAACTGTGTTGAGCTGAATGATATTAATTCATAATATTGCCCCTTGCTAGGTTCCTGTCAGGGGTTCATCAATGTGCTGGTTTTGTAAGGACGGAGTGTCTGCGTGGTACTTTATTGGTAGTCAAGGTTAAACCTCTACAGTTACGTAAATTGAGAGCTGGGTAATCTGAGGAAAGAAATATTTCCTCAGCATTGTAGCAGTGATGGTCACTCTGCCATTCTAATCCATGCAGACATAATACCCTTGAGTGGCTTCCATGGTTTAGCACACTGGTGTTGTCCTATTTATTGAGTAGAAACTAATTAAAAGTTCAAAAATCTCCTTCAGACTTTGGTAAAGAGTTAATCATGACACGGATAAGTTACCGGTGACACGCATAGTCATTGAAAACTTTTCGTGTATAGTTTAGCATTTACTGCTGATGAGTGAGTGAAGTGAAGATTCACGCATTGATTTCCAGGTGGATTTCAGATGCCTGACGTCTTGATCCGTTACCTCACCAGCTTCCTATTCTCTTTCATAGAATCATAGAATCATAGAATGGTTAGGGTTGGAAGGGACCTTAAAGATCATCTAGTTCCAACCCCCTGCCATGGGCAGGGACACCTTCCACTAGACCAGGTTGCTCAAAGCCACATCCAGCCTGGCCTTGAAGACATCCAGGGATGGGGTATCCACAACATCTCTGGGCAACCTGTTCCAGTGCCTCACCACCCTCTCTGTGAAGAATTTCTTCCTGATATCCAATCTAAACTTCCCTGATTTCAATTTATACCCATTACCCCTTGTCCTATCACTACAGGCTCTTATAAAAAGTCCTCTCCCAGTACCCTTGTAGGCCCCCTTCAGATACTGGAAAGCTGCAATGAGGTTTCCTCGGAGCCCCCTCTTCTCCAGGCTGTCGTGGAGAACTTTAGCCATTATGATTTCACCTCAATAGTCTTGTAAAAGTCAGTTGTGATTCTGGTGTTGCCCAAGTAGGAGCTATATGGTCATATCGAGGTGCTTTTCCCCAAGCCACCCCCACAGCAATTCAAAGATGGAGCAAGAGGGCATTCAGCCCCACACCCTCCTCCGTGGTGCTGAATGCTGGAGTCACAGGAAGGTTGCACGGAGGCCTAGCATTTGATGGGTGCAGGCTGGCCACTCACTCAGCCTGCAGCCCCAGGATGGGAATGGAGGGTCAAGGGTTGTAGGGGAGGGGAGAATCTAGAGGCCTAGATTTGTTTTCTGCTCCTTATATCCTGATTGATCATTGCAGTGGATGTCACCCTGGACGCTGACACAGCTCACCCCAGATTAGAAATCTCTGATGATGGGAAGAGTGTGAAAGATACTGGTGCCATCCGACACGTGCCCAGCAATGAGAAGAGATTTGATTCCCACACTTTTGTGTTGGCAAAGGAAGGATACGCATCTGGGAGACACTACTGGCAAGTGGATGTTGGCAAGAGAAGTAGCTGGGTCTTGGGTATTGCCCAGGAATCTGTGACTCGCAAAGGGATGTTGACTCTGTCCCCTGAGAATGGCTTCTGGGTCATAGGGTTTGCAGATGGGCGAGAGTGTTGGGCTCACACACATCCTCGGATCCGTTTGAGTGTGAGTGGGAAGGTGCACAGGATTGGGATCTTCCTGGACATCTCAGCCGAGAAGCTGACGTTTTACAACATCCATAAGAAAGCAGCTCTGTATGCTTTCACCATTGCTGCTGGCAGCATCCAGGAAGGGAAATTCCTTCCGTTCTTCTCAACAGGCCCTGTTACTGCAAACCCTGACACTGAGCCTCTGAAAATAGTACAGGGATTTGATCATGAGTAATAGTTCACTCTATACTGTGATCAGCCAGTTCTCACATCATGTTGTTATCAGGCTGCTGCCTAATTTGAGTTTACTAAAAATAGACAGAAAGGAGAGGACAGATCTATCATAGTGGCCAGCTGTGAGATTTTTTATGCTGTGCATTCAAACCTTATTTTGGGGCAATTTTAATTGCTCAGGAAAATGAATGTTGCTTCCTGTTACTATGGAATAAACACTTCCTCTGGAATGCAAAAGGGGGTGGACTTGGAAAATTACTAACCCTGAAAGTTTTGTGTATAAATATAGTACAAAGAACTCTGGTGTGCATACTAGGAGGAGGTATCCCCCATGCACCCAAGACTGTGATGAACCAGTGTTGGCTTTCTAAACTATCATTTGGTTTGGAGAGTTTTTTTGGTTAGAACTTTCACTAACAAATTCAGGTCAGCTGTCTGGTTTGTGTGGCCACTCAGCTTCTTGCCCTCGCTGACCTAGTTTCTGGGGGTGGGAGACAGGAAGGGGGAGGGTGGAAGAAATGTCACGCTGTGCAACCAGTGCCCAGCAATAGCAACAGCAATAGCAATAGCATTGATTTTCCAAGTCCACCTCCTTTAGAATGATTGGTTAGTGATTTACATATAATTATAATACTGCTGACACATTTCTTTCACTATTACACATGCTCAGGGGAAGGGTCTTCACCTGGGCAAGGGTCTTTTTGACCTATGGGTGTGATTTTTAGTATTATAATGAGCGTTTATTGAGCGAAGTTCACAAAAAGGACAAGATTTTAAAAATCTGCTGATTTACTAAAACGACTCTTCACTTAAAAGAATGCTACAAAGGTCTTAATGAGCATGTATTCTCATGCTTTTGATAAGCAAGAAGACTCGTCCCTTGTTATCAATCCTCAATTTTTTATGCTGATGTCACAAGTCTCCCAGTGTTCATTATCTTTAAGAACAAACCTTGAGTTTTCTTGCTAAATGGGCAGTGTGCACAGATCATTGTCAAAACAGCTTAACACAGACAAAGGACATCTCAACTGGTGCGTTATCAATACAGTTTCAACCACAGATGCCAAGCGCAGCATCGTATGCGTTTCTATGAAGAAAATGAACTCCATCCCTGCCAGACACATGGTGAAGACACACTGTTTGTTTTTGAAAGATACTGAATGATTCCTCTCATACATCGTTTAGAAATTGTTGGAATTTTAACATACATAGAAAGAGACAAATACAGTTCATAATGGAGTTTTGTGAAATGCATGTAGTAAATATTTCTGTCCAAACTGGGAAGATAACTTACACTCTTACAGAGAAAGTAAAACTGCTCTACACAACAATGCCTTTATTTGTTTGTGTCACTTGATTTCAAGAAGGCAACCTCTCACTTGAGTTCAGAAGAGCCAACCCTTTAAACCTCAGGGTGGGATTCAGCACGCAGACCGAGACAACTTGATTTTAGAGTAGCAGTCCATTGCACAAACATTGTCATCAATTTAAAACAGTTTGCGTGCCACATCTGCCAACCTCATACAGATATTTCAGATACCAGTGGGTGTTAAGAAATGCTAATTGTTTAGTTGAGATAACTAAGTTTTAAATAGAACTAATCGCACAGTGTCAATCATTGAGCGTTAGACACAGGGTTTATAGCATAATCTTGAGTAATTTGGTATGCTGTTTGTTCATTACAAACTTAGCGTGAGCAGCTCGATTTGCTAAAGCCTTAAGCCTCAAGCTGTACATTTCCACTGAACATGTTGTTGCCTGGAATAGAGTTGATTTTCTTCCTAGTAGATGGCACAGTGCTGTGTTGTAGATTTAGTGTGAGAACAGTGTTGGTAACATACTGCTGTTTTGTTGTTGCCAAGTAGTGTGTATCCCAAGTTTAATGTGGCAGAGCAAGCAGGTGCACAGGAAGCACAAACCAGGTCAGGAGGCTACAACCATCAACAAGATAAGAACAGCGAACAGGCTGCCTGGAGACAGAGAAAGGATCCAATAAGGTGTAAGAAGACCCCAGACCAACAAAATCACCACTGGACTGAGAAGGCTCATGAGGGGCGGGTGCAATGATTGTAAGGGTATAATTGCCCAGGAATTCCTTTGTTCAGGGTCCCTCTTCAGAGGCACCTAGCTCAAGCTGTTATTTTAAATTATTTTTCTGTATCATCTAAAGAATTTTTTTTTTACTAACATTTTATATCTGAGACTTTGCTACAGGAAACTTAGGGTTGACCCTGGAAGGAGAGAAATGTTCAAGAGAGAGAAAAAATGTGTATGAAAGGAGTTGGAAGGGGCACCCATCAGCTCATTGGAGTTGCCCACTGTGTAGGGATTTTGGTCCTGGCAGTTAAAGGCTTGGATGGTGAGTGTGCAGCTCCTGGGATGGTGTCTGAGTGCTCGAGTGGTCTCTCCTTTAACAGTTCGTCACTCTAGATGGCACCCTGGGCCATCATCTTCGGATCCCCTTGTCTCCAAATATCCAGCTGCCAGCAGCAGGTGAGTTGGACCTTGGAGCAAGAGGCTTCAAAGTGTGAGTGTTATAATTCCCTGAGCAGACTTGAGTGGAAATAAGGAAGACTCTTGCTGCAGCTTTTTGGTGGTGTGTAGCCTGATCAGCATAAAGCGCACGAGAGTAAATAAGGAAAGTGATGGGAAATACATCCAGCCCAGGGTATGGCCTGGGCTAGATCACTTCAAAACTGGAAAAAGAACTTTTGGTACAGCAAATACCAACCGGATTGCTGGTATGTTTGGGATGATTTGACGTGGGGGAGGAAACATCCAAGCCAGAGGTGTGGGATGAAAGAGGCATCGCCAAAGGTAATGCAGTAGCAGAGGTTGCTGCTCTGGATGAAGCCTCGATAATGCCCCAAACAATTCCATCCTACCTGATGCTTCTCTCTCTTCCAATTCTTCTCTGCCAGCTGCTGGGCTTTGTCCTATAATAATTCAGGGGGTTGAGTGAACTGGTCTCAAGTACAAGAATGCAAACAGACCTGATGAGCATCCTAGTGATTTCTGGGGACGAGTCTGACAAGCTCTGCTAAAATTTGGAGGAATGACGCTGCAGAATTTTAATGACACACTTGCAATTAGCATCTTTGTGGATCAGGCAGCCCTCGATATACAAAAATACTCTAAAGGACATGACTGGGTGGCAGGGAGAAAATTTTCAAATTATCTTGAGTGTTACTATGTTTGCACATGATGGGCATGAAGAAAGGCAAAAAGCTGAGCAAATTAAGAAAGGAAAAGGATGAAGTACATCTGTGGGTCTTGAGGGAACTGGCAGATGAGGTTGTTAAACCTCTATCCATCACAAGCTGTCAAATTGTAGCACAGTCTAGGAAAACACCACCTCTCTTTCAACTCCTTTTCCTACCATAAATTTGCCAGTGAACTTAAAGTTTAAAAGAAAAGTTTTGAAAACCACACTTTTCCTTCAAAACACATTTATTTCATTTCTTGGTATAATAGTGGTAGAAACTGGCTTGCAGCACTTTAGGGATGGCATTCAACCTAATATATATACAGAAATGGAGTATAAATTACACTGCCTCAGGGTATATAACATCACCTAAATGGCAATTCACGCAACTGAGACCATTGCTGTTCTGATAGGAATTTCATGACCTGTAATGGGAATTCAGACTCCTGCATGGGGTTTTCTGAATCTGATCCCAATCTTCTTTCAAGTGATTCTTTTTTCCCTTCTCAATCTTCTTCCTGTTTCAGCCTCAGGTTTCTTCTTGTTGAATTTCACATTACCGAGTTTTATGAGTTTTAAATTTCCCATCTTTTTACTGAGCTGTCTTTCACTCATCCATTAGATCTCATAGTCCTATTTAAGGAAGCTATAATGGGACAGGGATTGAGACTGGATGGATAAGAGGTGTGTGTGTCCCTTCCCCTCTGGATAGAAATG